TCAGATGGATCCTGGCTAAAAGCAGAGAACACCAGCAAAATGTTTACCTGTGCTTTATTGATTATGCAAAGGTCTTCGATTGTGTGGATCATAACAAGCTATGGGAAACATTGTAGAAAATGAGCATCCTGGAACACTTACTTGTGCTCATGAGGCTCCTGTACATAGACCAACAGACAGTTGTTCTTACAGAACAAGGAGACACTGCACAGGTGTGCATCAGGGTTGTGTTCTTTCACCACACTTATTCAATTTTCATGCTGAGCACATAATATAAGAAACTGGATTATATGAAGAATAACATGGCATCAGGATTGGCAGAAATTAACAACCTGCGATATGCAGATGATACAACCTTGCTTGCTGAAAGTAAAGAGGACTTAAAATAATTACTGATGAAGATCAAAGACCACAGCCTTCAGTATGGGTTGTAACTCTATGTCAAGAAGACAAAAATCCTCACCACTGGACCAATAAACAATATCCATTCAAACGGAGAAAAGATTGAAGTTGTCAAAGACTTCATTTTGCTCGGATCCACCATCAACATGCTTGGAAGCAGAAGTCAAGAAAGTAAATGACATATTGCTTTACGCAAATCTGCTGTAAAAGACGTCTTTAGTGTTGAAGAGCAAAGATGTTAGTGTGAGAACTGAGGTGTGCCTGACCTAAGCCACAGTATTTTCAATAACCTCATATGCATGAGAAAGTTGGACAGTGAATAAGGAAGACTGCTGAAGAATTGATGCATTTGAGTTATGGTGCTGGAGAAGAAATATTGAAAGTACCAGGGACTGCCAAAAGAACAGACCAATCTGTGCCGGAAGAAGTACAGCCAGAATGTTCCTTGGAAGCCAGGATGGCCAGACTTCGTCTTTCATACTTCAGACACACTGTCAGGAGGGACCAGTTCCTGCATAAGGATATCATGTATGGGAAAGTTGAGGGTTGAAGAAAAAGAGAAACACCCCCAATGAGATGGATTGGCATAGTGGCAGCAGCAATGGGCAAATGTGGCAGGGACTGTGAGGTTGGTGCAGGACTGGGCAGTGTTTTATTCTGTTGTATGCAGGGCTGCTATACGTAGGCACTGATTCGATGGCACCTAACAACAACAAGAAGTCACTGACGCTCTATATTCTTAGGGAGGGTGCAGCTCTTCCACCCAAATCCCGAGAGCTGTAACAGGTAGTTATGTGCTTTGTATCCACGTTAGCCCCAGGTTTGTGCTTTGTGGGATAATTCTGAGGCATGAACTTTTCTTAAAATATCCCCACCTTTTTGCCGAGTGGTGCTATAGGATAAGCATTGGACTGCTAACCAAAAGGTTCAAACCCACTAGCTTCTCTGAGGGAGAAAGATGAAGTTGTCTACGCCTGTAAAGATGTACAGTCTCAGAAACAGACTGTACACAGGATCATTAAGAATCAGAATCGGCTTGATGGCAGCGGAGCGTGGTTTTTCCTGCCTCTGTGCATCTAATTTGCAGCATGCGCTTCCCTTCACATCTGTTGATTCAGTGTTTCTAATTCTCCCCACATGGTGGGTATACTTGATCTCTGCCACACCACCACCCTTAATAGCCTGGTCTCTACACCATCGAATCCCAGTCTTCGGAGGCTGTTCCTGAGCCAGGAGGCCATCACACCCTAAGAAGATATGTGCCGAGAAGACAGCACCGTAGACACGCTCTGCCCAGTGGCACTGTCTCTTTCTGCCTGTGTGGCCCGTAAAGGTCTTGAAAACCCACATACCCCCGGGCACTTTACATCCATGAGGCATCACTCTTCTAAATAAATTTCTTTTCCGTGAGTAAGAGGTGAAAAATGTAAACATTATATAAGATAAAAAAGAAAAGAGAGAGATACTTGACTAAGAGGAATCATAATCCATGACATAATCTAATAAAGTATGTTCTAACTATAATACGGAGGCCTGGGGTGGCACTGTGGGTTAACGCGCCAGACTGCAAAGCCGTTTGGACTGCAAAGTCGGTGGTTCAAGCTCACCAGCTGCTCCTCAAAAACCCTATACAGGGTCGCTAGGGGTCAGAATCGACTCCATGGCATTTAACAACAACAGTACATGGAGCGCAGTAGCTCTGAGGATAAACACTGGATTGTGACCCACAAGGTTGGCAGTTCAAGCCTACCAGCTGCTCCACAAAAAAAAAAAAGATGAGGCTTTCTGCTCCCAAAAAGATTTCAAAGCCTCAGAAACCCTTTATGGTGTAGGTAGCTAGGAGTAGGAGCTGACTCAATGGAACTCAACAACATCTACAACACATGTAACAAATCTGAAATAAGTCATGCACAAAATTTTATGTGGGTATTATTCTATGTACTTTTTAAAAATCTATGTTGAAAAAACCTTAAATTAAAAAAAAAAAAAAAACCTGTTGAGAAATATTCCAGTATCTGTAAATGGCTCTGTTCCCTTTTAAGGCATCAACATGCCATCTCTTTACCTATTCGGCTTTGATTGTTCAGAATTCAGGACATCCCAATGATGCTCAACCTAGCCCACAAAAACAGTGTGTAAGTGGCTTGATTAACCACGTGGGAGGCCTCACTTCATTGGAAGCCAGGATGACTGAATTCATGGAGCAACGCAACACGGAACAGCAGGGAGTGGGTGGTGGGTGCCGTTCATTGATGAGCGGGGAAGGGCTATTGTGACCGGGGTCTCAGGAATGCCGAGAAAGAGGATTTGTGGATGCTGAGAAGCTGCAGACTGATGCTCTTATACTCGTGTAGACAATTTTCTATGTCCCCAGAGATACATACTCGCTCATTTCATAGGTGAACAGAGAGCAGCCCATGAGTTACAAAGAGTACCCAGGCCACACCTTCATAGGGGAGCAGAACTTGGATTTGGAGCTCACCGTGTCTGACCTATTGTTTCTTTACCATTCCACTCTGCGGGTGCGTCCACATTGAACAGTTCACCTTCCTGGGGAGGCTCAGGAGTGGAACAGACGGGACAGCAGACTAGAGTGAGGAGGGAAGAAGGAGAGATGTATAGATGGATAACTGTAAGATGAGAGGGTACTTACAAGAGGTAGCAGCAGACAGCGGTGGTCACCAGCATGGTGATGATCACTCTGTAACAAAGGAGGAGGCCATGTCAGAATGGACACAGTGCCCTCGGAGGCCCAGCAGAGACAGAAAAATGCTTCTCGTGCCAGGCCCTTTCTGTTGCCTTCTGGAGGCCACCTGGAGAGTAAGCTAACTTCTACGCAGTGTAAGAACTGCAAGATGAAAAACAAGAGCTTCTCCCTTCACCCCCACCCAATAGTTCCAATTGTAATACAGACATGTTGAGGGAAAACATTGCAGAAGGCTGCATTTGTGCCAACCCACTGTAGAGTCATCTCTGCAATTCAAAATGCATTGGGCAAGGAAAAGGAAAGCTATAGATCACAAACAGGGCAAGAAGCAAGGAGATTATGTGCTATCTTTGAGGCATTTCCGGCTGTAATAACACTTAAAAATGCAGCAGGGAAGATATCACTCAGAGTGAAGAAAGAACTTACTAATAATATATGCAGGAGAGGAGAGACACTCAAGTGGTTTACAGAATGAAGGTGTGGGACCCTGAAGTCTGCAGATCTTTAAGGGCAGACACAAACCCATATATCCAAGTAATCTCCAGACAAAGCTAAACATCTTTCAAAACAGGACTTAAGAGTTTTGATTTAAAGCACTTCAAAGTCAGTGCCAGAGAATGAATACACGATCCAGTCAGCTTTACAGTGCACCTTGGGCCAGTCCTGTCTGTGCTGGGCCTAGGATATGAAACAGTGGTGAAATAGACAATGGCTGAACGCAGGGATCTTGTAGTCAATGCACAACAAATGAGTTTTCACCGAGGATATCAACAAGCACAAACTAAACACTGCTGCCCGATCCACAATAAAAGTGTTTTTTTGTTTTTAATAAGACCAGCTTAATATTTTTAAGTACCTAGCTCTCTGGAGTCCTGCTGTAGCACTGTGGGTTAATACACTGGACTGCAAAGGCGTTTGAACCGCAAGATCGGTGGTTCAAGCTCACCAGTCGCTCCTTGGAAACCATATACGGGCCGCTATGGGTCGGAACCGACTGGATGGCACTTAACACTGTTAAATGATTCATCACATCCTTTCCTGTAATTTTCACGACACCTAATAAAGCAGGTGTTACTGTCCTTCCCTTGAGGAAACAGCTTGGAAAGGGTACCAAGTTTGCTCAGTCACACAACGCTGCTATCAGAATAGGAGAAATGGCACCGGTGGCTTTGAGAGGGTTAGTGTCTGTCTAATCTTCACCTCTCTAAAGGAGAACCAGAAGTCCAGATTTCCTGCCTGTTCCTGGGCTGCATTCAAAACTGGCATAGGTGCCAGGTCCCAGGAGAAGGATGTCTGCTTTCCTCTGCAGCCTGAGGTGAGCCCAGGCAGTACGAGGTAAGAGCTGTTACCCTAGGGCCGGGGGCGCGCACCATGAGCGGCAGAGCGGCTCCCTGAGCCAGGGAACCGGGGGCGCGCAGCACGAACGTGCAGAGCGGCTGCCTGGGCCGGGGGTGCGCACCATGAAGGGCAGCGCGGCTCCCTGGGCCAAGGGCGCGCCGCACGCGCTGGGTAGGTAAGGGGTCCTACAGGGTGTGCAGGCATTGTCTTCCTTACCCACGGTTAGGTCCTTTCGGCACGAACCAGGGTCCGGCGATGCCTATAAGGCCCCAGAACGTGGTGAAGATGATGACCGGGAGAGCGAAGGAGTGCGCTGTCATGGCCGGCAGGGGAATGCCCGGACCGGGCCGCGGAACTGAAGCCGAAGATACGGAAGCGGCCGGTGTGCGATAGTCCGGAGCCTGGGAACGGCTCTGTTATCCCAAGCGATTACCCAACCGGAGTCCGATTAAGCGCATGCGCAACAAGAGCAAAATCGCCTCTAGCCCAAGGGAACTCGCCACGGCCCTTGAGCTGTCACTCAGAGGGAAGGGCGGGTGTTCTGAGACTACAGCTAGATCATTGATTGGCTGAAGCGGAAGCTCCGCCCGCACTCGCTCTCGATCGTCTCCATTTCAAGACCCGCGTGGCCGGCAGGAGGCGCTATCTGCAGTGGCGGGGAGGTAAGAGCCGGTCCTGAGGAGAGGAGGCAGGTGGGTGCGGCGGGCAGTGAGCCCATCGGTAGTGGCGTGTCGATAATGCCGGCTCCTGGGTAACAGCTGAGAACGCGGGGGGACGGCGGGCTCCTCGCCTGCAGTCAAGGGTCTAGACATCCCCGTCCCGGCGGCTGGGAAGGGCGTGAAGTTAGGCTCTAAGACTACGATCGGGGCGGGGAGAGCCGGTGTTCGCCCTGCCCGGGTCACTGCGACGCGAGTAGAGGCTTTAGGGTGAAATCCCCGAGCCCCTGTGTAAATAGCTACAGCATGCTTAATAGGAAATGGGGTTCTGGGGGAGTAAATGAGGAAAGCTCATGGAGGCAGCTGGCGCTGTAAGGTTCAGTGGAAGCCCTGTCTGCTCGCAGACACCAGATTCCCTAGGCAGGTTTGTTGTTGTTGAGTGCCGTGGACTCCAGGGCACATAGCCACCACCTGGCAGGGTACGGGGGAAGCATCTTTTAAAGGCACCCAGTGAGCCCTGTTGCTCCTACAGGTGCCCATTTACCCAACACTCCTTTTCATAAAATGTGTGTGTGTGTGAATGTGCTGAACACCTACTAGGAGTGCCAAGTCCAGTCTAACAGGATTCCACTATCCGCTCCTTCACCTTACCCAAACTCAAAGACTCTCAAGCTTGAGGGGCTTTTAGAGACAAGAGTCTACCTAGAAACAGTCTGTAAACCAAGGGTTCTCATTATACCCCTAGGATTTCAGAGAACCACTCAGTGTGGAAAAGCCCCCAGGTAGCTAAAGTCTCCGGGGTGCCGTCTATGCTAACCGTGCACAGGGAGCATATGGTGTTCAGCAGCCAGAACACTGAGCAGTTTGTATCTTGCATCCTTTCCTTCTAGCTCCATAAGGTTTTTGCTAAGTTTGTCCTGAGTGGAAACTGAGGAAAGTAAACATCTGTTTCTCCTTTGGAGAATACTCATGGTCCAGGAAACAAGGGAGGCCTCTGGTAGCAAAGTGGTTACAAGTCTAGCTGCTGATCTCTCATTTAGCATCTGGAAACTACCAGCTGTTCCGCAGAAGATGAGGCTTTCTGCTCCTGTAAAGATTTACAGCCTCAGAAACCCTATGCAGGGTTGCTGTGAGTCGGAACCGACTCCAGGGCACACCGCCACCAGGAACCGACTGGTGGGAACCAACTCCAGGGCACACCGCCACCAGGAAACAGGGCTGGGCATTAGGCATGGAGTTGGTGTGTCTGGCAGGACCACAAGCTCCAGTTTTGCTTACCTCATCTGGTGCAGACTCACTGCTAACTGGGCTTCCTGCTGGTCACTGAGCTGGATTCTGGAGAGCTGGACAACCTCCCTGGAGCCCTGAAGCAGAACTGGCTCCACAGCCTCATTGACTCTTGACACCCGGCTTCAAGGTGCCTGAGGGAGACAGAGACACTTTATTACACCATCTCTTCTTCCTCATTCCACCCTATGAGATGGCCGGCCTGGGTGGTCCCATTTAACCAATTGGAAACTTTGAGGTCTGGAAACTTGAGTGACTGTTTTTCTGAAGGACACCCCGAATCAGTGCTGAAGCTGAGTCCAGGTGTCCTGGCCTAGGAGCTGCACTGTCTTCTATCTGAAAGGCCTTATTCTAGATAAGGGCCATTACGTGGTCAGCTTTGGAGGAGGAGCTGTGACTGTATTAACAACAGCTAGCCTGGAAAGCTTGCTCTGCTGACCTCGAAGGAATTCTCGTTTACAGTTAAAGCCTGCCTATATTGTAGACATAAATTATCCTCTGACTTAGATCTTTCCGTTTAAGTCTGACTCCCTGACAAAATAGTCCCCATCTCTAAGTCATCTCCATTTACTCAGATAATGCTTTATTTATAGCAGACCACACTATTATATTATACTGTTATATTATAGAGATTAGTGAAATCCCCAAGACTATGGCCTCTAGACTCTCACCAAGCCTTGAACTGAACTCACTTCCGTGGCCCAACTTAGAACCAAACAACAGGCAGGCTTATTAGGTGAACACCAATGCACTCCTTAGAATAATCAAGCAGACAAGATGAAAAGGCAGCATCGCTCTAAGGAGAATGCTCAGAGGAAGGAAAGAACAGGAAACAAGAAGAAATGGGAATGGGAAACACAGGAGCAAGTGGGAAGAGGGCTGTTAAAGTTGTAGGGATTGAGATCAATGTTACAAAACAAAATGTGTATAAATTGTTGAGTGGAAATCCAATTTACTATGAAAACTTTCATCCAAACCACAATAAAAAGTTATAAAAAATTAAGATACTTCAGCTCATTTAAAAATATAAATCATATAGCAGCTTTAAACAATTTTTTTTTTAAAGTCAGTGCAAAATAAAAATAAGGAGGTAAAAATTTTCCGGAACAAAGTTGTTACAAAGAAATACATATTTACATCCCACACAAGCTGCTTAAAATGGATTGGAAAACTCAGCTCGGAATGACAGCATTTCCTTCCCGTTGCTCATCCCGGCTTACTGTACACTATCTGGCAGTGCCTATTCTACTAGAAACTTCCGCTGTTCTACCTCTTCATTCATTTATCTTGTACAGCCAAGAATCCCCCTGTGCTAGGGTGGTGGTGGGAACTCAGTGGATGCTGCTCACATTCTACATAAGGCCGCTCTCTCCTCAGCACCATCTCCCCATACACGTGACGTGAAGGCAGTACATAGAGAAGAGCTGAAGTCAATTTCCCGGAAGAAGCAGGGAGCAGAGAGGTGGCACTCTCCTCAACCTAGATGACCTGGTTGTGCCTCAGGCTCTATGAACCTGTGCCACATGGGTCTTCTGAGAGAGCGTGCATGAAGCATGTGAGCTCTCCGGACCACCAGGGACTCCAAGACCCACTCCTAAAGGATCTCTGCCCTGGTGAGGAGTTCAGGCTCCAGTCTCAGAAGTCTAGCATGACAGATTTTACTACTGGTGGGAATGGATGTGTTTGCCGGAAAGCCTGACTATTCTCTGTAAACCAAATGAGCTCATGTATGAGAAAGTACTTCATAAACGAGTTTGTTGTTGTTGGATGCTGTCCAGTCGATACCGACTCATAGCCACTCTGTGCACAACAGAACGAAGCACTGCCCGGTCCTGTGCCAACTTCACAACATTGGCATGCTTGAGCCCATCGCTGCTGCCACTGTACCAATCCACCTTGTTGCGGGAGGGGGGGTCTTCCTCTTTTTCCACTGACCCTCCACTTTACGAAGCACGATGTCCTTCTCCAGGAACTGGTCCCACCTGACAATATGTCCAAAGTATGAGAAACGAAGTTTGGCCATCCTGGCTTCTAAGGAGCTTTCTGGCGCCACACCAGAACCAAATATAGTAGGATTCCCCCCCACCAAGCAAAAGAAACATGATTTCATCCAAGCCACTGAAAGTTTTCCACAGTGATGCTCATATCAGTTCAAATCTGTAGCTAAATAATCCATGAATATGCAGTTATAAATATTAGATGGCACTGTACAGAGTAACTCACAGCTATATTCATTTCTATTTAATTTTCCTTGGACACATAAATTTAGGAAAGCCTTATAAATGATACAATGAACTATTAGTTGAGCCCAGAATACTTACCTTGGAGTAATAAGAGTTTAAAAAGTTTCAATGATGGGAAAATTTTGTGAACTATCACGTTTACCCTTACAAAGATTTTGAAGTTGTATCTATTGTGACATGCAAACATTTTTTCTAAAACGCTTGCTTGTGGCAGCTCCCCTCTTATCCAAAGACTGGTAGTAAAGCATTTCTGTGATACAGTTAAAAAAAAAAAAAAAGAAAAGGAAGCAAGAGATAGACAAGGGCTTCCTTGTAAGAAAATAAAAGAGAGCCAGCCCCCCACACCCCATGCTGAGTAGACAGAGCTACATACAAAGGTAGGAACATCTAAAACTATACCCAGCCTAACAGCCTACCCAATGCAGCTGCCTGGAAGGGGAAGGGCAAGTGTAGTACTTTAGGATGGGTGAAAGAAATGGGGTCTGACGTCCATGGCTGACTGGGAGATAGCAAGCCCTTGGATTCTCTGGTGCCACTTCATGGAAAGGGAAACTCAAAAGTTCCTTTCTTTAGGTTCTGTTGACTCCTGGGCCTTTTGTTTGTCTCCTTCTGGAAGGAAAGGCTGGCAGGAGGTGAAGAATTCGCTATGCATCTCCCACCTGCTGTTGAGGCTCCCTGCCCTGGAAGCCAGGATGAGGGCCGGAAATTAGAACTTTAGGAGTCTGCAGCCCTTGGCCCCGCCCACTGTACGCTCCTGGAGGTCCCCCACTCAGCCAGGAGGCCAGGCTGCTCCTTCAAGCCTTCAGTCCTGCAGGAACATGGGGGTGACATCTTTCATGATGGGTGGCTTCCTGGAGTGTCCCAGAAGTGAACTTGCAGATGTGCCTTTTCTACAAGTTTAAGGGCTGGGAGGTCACAGTTGTGGAATATCTCACCACTGCCCTGTCCCTGGTACATGGAGCACCCTTACCAAAGATTCTGGACACACAAGAGTCTTTGCAGAAAGTCCATCACTGTCACCACCTCAGAACGGCCTCCGTCCCAGGTAGCACCTCTGCTCCTGCATGAGCCCTTCTCTGTGGGTGCAGCTGTGTGTGGACTCCATGGTGCAGTCCTCTGGACCCCTGCTGGTTCCCTGTGGGGCCGGGGAAGAAGTCTCTGGGTCACAGACGTCTCCATGCCCACTGCTCCCATTGTTTTATTCCCGAGCCCAGCTCCTCAGGCAGGAGACAGAGGGGAAAACAGATTAACAACTCTTCTCAATGCTAGGTTCACCCAGGGTACATTTGGTGGCACAAACAGGGCAGAACAGACTGGAGACAGCGTGCAAGGTAGTGCAAGGGTGTCTGGGAAAAGCTAGGGTCCCAGGAACTTCTCACATATGCCCTGCTGGCCTGGATACAATTCCTGGTGAGGAGGAGCGTACCCAGTGGTGCCACCGGTTTGCCAGAACCACAGATCTCCTTCTGTTGCTGATTCCTCCTGAAGCAAATGCACTGTGATGTCATCAAATGTCACAGGGCCCTGAAAGGAAAAACACCAGCTTCTTACTTAGGTTTGTCTTCCACACTTATGTTTACAACTGCCCAAGAACACCTGTACTTGAGGAATCTATCAGAATTGGGGGTCAACCTACAGACTTACACGCCCCATCTCTGTTGCCCCCTGGGTGCAATCCCAGTGTGAATGGAGACTCACTCTGCTGAGAAGTGCCCTACAGTAAAACAACATTGTCATGAAGAGTGACATCAGTGTCCAACAGTTTCCTGCTCCCTTCCCTGAACGTTATCTCTGACCTTCCCACAGGCCTCAGGACTTCTTAGCCAGTGCCCTCAGCAAAAATTTAGGACATGTTCTTTGGCATAACCTTGAGCATGGTAAATCCTTATCTATGACGAGGTATCTGTTTCTAGAAATTGTCAGAAATCATTTAGAACTATGTCGGTAAATGAAGTCAATGATCAGATAGGCAAAAAAAAAGCTTCATCTTTCTCCTGTGGACCAGCTGGTGGGCTTGAACTGCTGACCTAGTGGTCCACAGTGCAGTGCTGCTCCTACGGAGCCACTGTGCTCCCCAGGGCTCCTATAGTGATACTATTATGGGAATCATCCTTTCAAAAGATCCTTTCTGGGAGCCTAGTAAAGAGCAGGTACTGTTCCACTGTGCTAGCTGGCCACAGAGCAAAGTTACAGAACATGTAAATAACATATGTGATGAATTTATAAGGGCTGGGGAGAAAACGAATCCAGGTAATGGGGTGAAGAGTAATGAGGAAGTCTTTGACTTCTACCCAGTATTCTGCCAACAACTGGTAAGCTATCCCACATCCAATCCAATGGCCCAAGATGTGTTTAGTTCACAAATATCACTGAGTACTATCAAAGGATAGTTCTATAAATAGATCAAACCACTTCCTCAATTAGACTTTTTTAAAAAATGTTTTATTGTGAATTATGTGATAGTTTACATGGGAAACCATTAGTTTTACATTCATCCTATCGTATACCATTTCATTGCCATGGTTACAATCCCCTCCATGCATCATCAACCAACCAAAGGGTATATACTACAAGCCTGCCCCCCAGTCGTCAGCACACAGC